TAAAGTTGCGTACAAACATCTAATTTTGTTTTTATTTAATTGCTAGTCCGATAAAACGCAACGGACTTAAACTCAGCCAAGAACATAGGAGATTTTCACATTTGTCTTTTTTTAACCCTTGAATTTAATTTTCTAATCAGCTGATAACCCTCCCACATCCTTTTTAAAGCCATCCATTTCGATTGATTCCTATATTGTAACAATTCATTTAAATTATTAAATTATTTGAATTGAATTTGGCTTTAGTACAGGTGGCAACCTTTTTCAAACACCTCAAAAATATTCTAAATCTTCAAGCTAGACATTTCTTAGCCCTCTGTCATTTTACACCCATATTTTAATATCTATATCTTATAATGTTTGTATATTTTAATTAGATTCGAATTTTCTAACAGGTGGCAACCGCTTCAAAATATTTTCTAACTTAATTTTCTTAAACCTTTTTCGTCTGACACCCACACTTTAAAACATATTTCGATTACCTAACTCCCTTCAAGCTGAATTTAATTTTTTAAATAGGTGGCAATCCTCTCATGAATTTTAGAATAATTTTCAAACTCATTTTAATTGATGCCCATATTATAATAATTCATTCAAGTTATTAAATAATTTGAATTGAATTTAGTTTTAGTACAGGCGCAAACCTTCTCCGAATGTTCAAACTAAACATTTTTGAGTACTTTTTCATATAACACACTTTATAAACTGTGTTTATTATTTATAAACAGGGGGCAACCCTCTTAAGCTTAAACTTATTTGGTCTGACAGTCACAGCGGGTAACCCTTTCCAAGTTCTAACCTACAAAGTATTTATGCAAATCTTTTTCTCGTCAAGACGAACACGTGGGTATGCGCGCTTCCACAATCAGACCACGACAATACAGATTTTGTTAATGTCAAACTGGGAGCAACTTTATTTTATATACATATGTACATTAGAGGGCCGCGACAGAAAAGTCGCGATTTTTTCGCGGGAATTATGAAATAAAAATTATTATATTTCAAAAAAATATTGAGATTTGCCTGAGTTGGAACGATTTGAAAAGACCTCCAAAAATCGATTTTTTTTTTAATAAAAATAGCTTTAAAAATATTATGATAGGAGATTTTAATACAAAAGGCGTGCATAAAAATTAATCAACATTTTACCAACGGAATAAAAATAATAAAATTTTTTGATGTATTTTTAAATCTATAGATTTATTTACTTGCTTACTTACGTCCTTTACTTACTTCATTTATGTTAATTTTTTTTACTTCATCTCCTGTCCGGTCTTTGGCTTTAGAAAATATTTTAATTTCTGCATCAAAAAAGAACCACCATAATGTACACAATTTGCATGGTTGTCGCGTCAACTACAAGAAAGCTGTATGTGCAGCTCAGACACACACCAAAAGTGCGAAAGTGTAAAGTTTACGGTCTTCGATAAAATATGAAAGCAGAGAACGTATACAGAGAAAGTATATAAATGAAAAGGCGCATTTTCAGTGACCGTTTTTGTTCCGCAGAAATTTTGAGTCGTCGTCGAGGAAATTATACCACTCGTCGACGAAATGCACAACTCGTCAGTAGAGCTTGAAATCAATCGATGACACTATCGATAGTATCGATGTTTTAAAATTTCCTCCACCATCGATGTTTTTCCCGCCACTATCTATAGTTTTTCGCTCATATGTATACAATGAAATATTTATTATACATTTTCGACTAAATTAGTTACTGAATCCATCGTAGGTTCGAGCTTTGAATAAAACGCAAGCTTCAAATGTCTAAAAATTACTGCTGATGTTTAGACTCTAAATTAATATTCGTCAATATAAAAATGAAATGCGTTTATTTCGGTTTATGAAAGCAAATGCATACTCAATATCTTTCTAAGAAATCGAATCATAAAGCTCTAAATTTTTACTAAACTTTGTTAAATTTTTTTAAGGTTTGCACCAAGTTTGAAACTTGGATTCATAATGTTTTTGACAAATAATGAACTACATATATATGTTTTGATAAAAAATAAGAACTAAAATTAAATATTAAAAAATTTATTTTAGAATTTTTTTCGACCAAAGGTATATGTATTTATGTACGCTGCTGGAGAAACATCCAAAACATGGATGGTCATGGACGTCGATAGTTTTCCAGCTCTATTTTGACGGCACTCGGCCGATGCGGAACGTTTAACAAAATAAGCAAAATAAAGATCGGCCAACTCCTCTTTCCCCATCATCCTTTAGCTCAAGTATCCCTTCAATCTCTTATCCATCTTCTGCCTAACGAAGCACTTTATGCTAGTGGTGTTGAATTACCGGTGTCGGGGCAAGGACGGTTATAAAAAATTATCTTATCACGGAATGCCGGTACATTCATACATATGAGTTTTTATTGTCATACATAATCCCATAGTTTACCCATCTGTTTACATACTTCTTTGAAAATAGCTACGTAGAATGTATGTCCATTTGAATACACTTTTCTCTAACTTTCCTCTTCTTCCATCGACTGATTGCAATTTTGAAATTCATTCATAAAAACCAGCAGCTTACTAACTTTGCGTAAACCCAACCGCATGGATGAGTCGTCGTCATCATATTACAGCCACTTGCTATGCCAGTGAATCATCATCAGTTCAAGCTTAAACTCAGAGCAAAACGTCAAGCGTCACTACAGCTTTCTAGCTGTTTGCGTTTTGTGATCGCCGTTTTCGAAAGCAAGTATAAACGATATTTTGAAACAAATGCAAAACCAGTTGAGAAGACAATGCAAAGTGGGTGTATATTTTCTTGAGAGCTTAAGCGCACTTCTACTACCACTAAGCTGAGAGTGAGTGATAATGGCCCATATATGGCGAATTTATGTGGGAAGCCGGTCGCAAGTGAAGGTGGTGTTGAGTTTGGAATATTGGTTGCGGTGACATTCAGTATTTTTGAGTTGGCGAACGAGTGTGAACTGTGATTTTAAGTTAGAGGAGTTACAAAAGTAAAGCCGTAATTCGTTTTAGTAATAAATATTTTGTAAACAAACAAAAGAATTTCATAGCAATAA